TGGGAGTCTGCGGGACTCGCGCCACACAGGGCTCGCACAGGGAAGCGGTGCCATTTTGGGATCATTCCCTCCAGACGGGAATCTCTTAGCAAGGCTAAAGCCCTTTGGAGATCCTGGAAGTTTTCCTTGGGAGGCAGTTTATATGCTGCCAAGGAGCAGGAGGCACGAGGGGCTGGGCACTGGTCAGAATTAAGTTCATTGCAAGAAGCAGCAACACAAACCTCCCCTCCCCAACCCCCCGCCCCTTTCTGCTCAATATTTAAGTTGCCAAAAACACTGGAGTTCTCCATATTTTTGTAGTTTTAGGAATATGTGGACTAGGGGACAGCAACAGTGAGACTTTTTCCTGGAAAAGGTTACTGTTGTGATGAGATGTGGACAGGAGATCTCACACCTACAGGGGAAGCATCAAGGCACCAGCAGCTCCCTCAGAACTGGGTCATCCTGTCTCCCCCATCGCTCCCAACCTCCTTCCCCTCCTCCCTAGGACGCACAGACACCAGAAAAAGCAGCATCCTCCGCTTTGTATTTCTACCAGAGGGTTTCTAATTAAATAAAAACAGTTTCAGCTCAGCCGATAGTGGACATCCTTAGCTTTTGATCCAGCAAACATGGAGAGATTTGATCCTATGCAAGTGGGGAGAGGGGAGGGAAACAGACCTGTTGCTATCGAAATGGATCTTTACTGCTCTTTAACAAGGAGGCCATGAAGCAAAAGCCACCTGAGTTTAAAGAGGAAGCTCAGCCAAAGGTCAGCAGGCGGCTCTAGGTGTTATCAGAGCCTTGTGAACTGACAGGAAGGTTATGTCAGCCGGCTGTAGCAACACCGCGGAGAGGCTGGCGGGGCCGCTCGCTCCTCCCCAGCTCCCAGCAGGGAAGGGCTCCTTCCTGCTGTAAAGCAAAGAGCCGGCAGAGCCTGGAGCAGCTCAGGACAGGAAGAGAAAACTTGTCCTGCTCAGCTAGGCAGAAAGCCAGGCTGCTCCCTGTTAATTGCAACTCAGTCTGTTTTCTTGGAGGCCCTGCCTTCCCAGAGGATTTGTACTGCTTTCACTGTTCACCTGGGTAGCTGAAGTGCTGGGCGGAAGGAGACAGACAGGGTGACACGGGGCTGCAGCTATCCCTGGGTGCAATCCATATGCACTGTTTGGGTGAAGCTATGCAGTCCTTCAATCCATGACAAGAGGTGGTGGGAAGGGAGCTCACACCTCTGCTTCCCAAACTGGTCTAAAGGAGACGGATGCACAAGCGAGAAGGCCCCCAGGCTGGAGCTGGCTTGAATCCCAGCAGCAGCTTTCCAAGGCAGAGCTCTCTGCTGAGCCCCTCTGGAGCTATCTCGGACCAGTTGCACTGCTCCTAGTGCCTTAAGTCACTGAGGGAACTTCAAACCCCTTAAATGAAGGTAGAGCAAAACCACCTTTAAAATATCACTGCATACACATGGCCCCAGGTATGGAGCTATTTCTTCTAGACAGATTTGCACCCTTTTCACCCTTCCCTACGTTACATGCCAGTCCAGAACTACTTGGCTCCAGAGACATTTAGCTTTTATTTAACCTTGGGTGCTTGCTAAGCACACAGCCTCTCTGCCAGGCTTGTCGAGCAAGGCCACGCGAGTGCTTCCAGCCCATGAACTCCCTCTGGTGCAGCGCCCGGGGTGGCAGCAGTTCGAACGGGAGCACAGGAGTGCATCAACGCAGAGCCCTCGCTGCCCGGCGCCCGTCCGCGCGGGGCAGGGACACGGCTGCACACCCCGCTGCCGGGACAGGCAACGCGCACGGTCCAGCACCACCCGCCTCGCACACCAGCGAGGTGAGGGTGTTACCAGCCCGAGCAGCGCTGGAGGAACCTGCTCACGGCTCCTCAGCCCTCTGCTAGGCTCATTAACAAGCAACTTTGATCACTGGGCTTAACCAGGCACTCCAGGGGGTTAATCGTTAGCCCAGCTTTCCTCAAGGGCCCCATATTTACACTGGACAGCTTTCCTAGCACACTTAGCCTTAACTTTGACGTCCATAGTCTTATGGAAAATCTTTGTCCCAAGACATCTGAAGTCTATGTATTAAACCTGCAGCCTAGGGTACAGCATCAACCTGTCCCTCCTAAAGGGCATCAAGTTTCCAAGGAAAATATTACACAAGAAGAGCAAAAAGGCTCCACACCTATCTGTGTGGGCAGGAGAATATAGAGCTTTCTGGAGAAACTTGTCAGAATTACTGCTTTGGGTTAGCACAGACAAATACATAACAGTCTGCTCCTTGTTCTGAGACTGTGTCCCCAGGGACCTTGTTCCCGCTGAGGACCCATGCACATTTTCTGCTATCTTTTCCACACAATTCCTGTTCCCTATGGAGGGGAATGGCCAGTCAACACCTCCAGAAGAGACTGCAAGACAAGACCAAACCTCAGTTGTATGTGCTGCCTTTTCATGCTGAAGGGAAAGATTCAACCAGTTGCTTTGCATTTGCCCCCACTTCTCCATTCTAGAGTCATGTTGCAGGCCCTGTTTCTCTTCCAGGATTTTATAGGTCAATACTGCTTTTATCTCCACTTACTGATGTCTTCTGCTCCAGCCCAGTTCACAGCTCTAGCAGCAGCGTTTTCCAGCCTTTCAAGCCCGGGCTACATCAGGGTGTCACTTCCAGGACATCCGTGCTGCAGCAGGAAGGCAACGCACGAGCGAGCTGGAGGAAAGGGATACAAGCGAGGGAAAACAGCGGGATGCTGGCCAGCCTGTGATCCAATGGAGAAAAGTCTTAAACACATTGACTGCACAGTCTTTAAGGAAACAGACATAATCCTCCCCTCCCTAAAAACGGATGAGCTGCACAATAATTCGCAGTCACCTCAATATTTGTTTCTGCTGCTAGAGAAGCCTAAAGGGTTCGTGATAGAAGGGCATCTTTCCCCTCTCGCAAGTCTGAGCTGCAGTGCATCTTTCAGAGGAGCCCAGCACGCTGTTCCCCACACCCCTGGGCCCTCATAACCTTTGTCATAGCCGCAGGGTGTTCTATAACCACAACAGGCATCCGTGTGCTGCTGGCATGCGGCGCCGCGACAGGCTCTGACCTTTCCGAGCGCTCCTTCCCCGTGCGCCCTTCAAGCTTTGGCTCCCTGACTCTGCGGGAGCTCATTTTGGCTTTTGTTTTTTTACACTTGACAAGAGGAGGAAGGGGTTACATGAGGAAGTTTGCCCTGAAATACCCTCTGTGCATGTGAGGAGCTGTCAACAGCGTTTCCTGAGCCAGCTTCACATGTGTGGCAAACTGCATAGACCCAGTACTCTGGGCCATGGCACGATATCCACAAAGCTCATTCAGGCCAGCAGTTAGAGATCTGTGAATGAGGACCCCCATGCACCCCAACATCTGCCTTGCAGCTGGAAGAGCACCTCAGTAGCAAGTTAACATTACCAACCTTGCTCCTGATGAGCAAAATGAAATAGATTCCCCTGCTGAAACACTTTGCAGCAAGTCTGCACATAGAATCATAGAATCATAGAATCATAGAATGCTTAGGGTTGGAAGGGACCTCTAGAGATCATCTAGTCCAACCCCCCTGCATACGCAGGGACATCTAGAGCACGTGGCACAGGACTGCATCCAAGCGGGTTTTGAAGATCTCCAGAGAAGGAGACTC